TTTAAAAATCACGTCATTTGAGTAAAAACCACGGCTAGCCAAGTTTACGCCGTTTTGCGTGGTTTTTGTCAAACGACTAAAAGCGAGAGATGGTTTTCAAAGTGTTTTTGTTGGAGAACCGTTTAGACATGCCAAAGAGTGAAAGCAGATCATAAAATGCTAAAAACCACTTGGTTGGTTCGGATGCCAAAAACCAAACCCGACAACCGAAAGCCGAACGCTGGTTTCTGAAAGCCGAACACTGGTTTCTGAAAGCCGAACACTAGATGGCTTGGTTTTTTGTTTGGGCGAACACCAAGTGTTTTTAATGACTTAAACAAGTTTAAAACCATTTTTATGATGTAAGAAATGCAATGAGAGTTTTTAGCCTAAAGAGCCAAAGTGTAACGATTGGGTCGGTCTTGATCACAATAAAGACCGACTCAATACTATGATTAAGGTCTTCGTTCTTGGTCTTCGTTTAGCTCTTGCTCTTATCTTCGTTCTTCGCCTTGTATATTCAATGTTCGACTTGATCACGGCGGTTTGGCATTATCAAAACCTGTTACAAAAACGAACACGGCTTTAGTACGAAAACGTGACAAGCCCGTGTTTCAACAAAATTCCCATATTGCGTTTGCACATATTGTGAGGGCAAACATGCGGCAGCCTTAGCAAAGAAGAGAGAAGAAGAACGGGTTCATCAGTTCCTTATGGGGGTCGACGACGCCATGTATGGCTCCATAAGGTCACAACTTTTGTCTCAAGAACCACTGCCCACTGTCGCCCGAGCCTACAATATCTTGATTCAAGAAGAGACTGCACATGCTTCGATCCGAGGCATTGGCGACATTGAAGTCACCGCGGATGCCTCTGCTGTGAAAAAAAGCGACGAAGCTGATCAAATTTGCGGTCATTGTAAGAAGAAAGGACACCAAGTTGACTCATGCTTCAAACTGCACGGATTCACCGAGTGGTGGCCGCCGGGGAATGACCGCGGGCGTGGCAGCAACCGTGGACGTGGCTCCGGGCGTGGGGGAAATCGTGGAGGCCGCGGCGGAAAAGGAACAGACGGGAAGGGCAGCGGACAGACGGCAGCAGCTCACGCCGTAACTGCTGGCGACGGAGGATTGTCCAGCCTCTCAGACTTTGAAAATCTCACACCTTCTCAGTGGGATACAATTCGTCACGCCTTATCTGTGTCATCCACTCCATCTGTTCCTCCCGAAAAATTAACAAGTATCGCCCCTCGTTGGATTCTTGATACTGGTGCGTCGAATCATATGACTGGTGATGTTATGTTGCTTTATGATATTGTGGATATGCCATCTTGTGAAATTGGGTTGCCAGACAGAAAGAAAATTAAATCAGTTCAATCTAGGAAAATTAAGTTAACGGACACATTGACTTTGTTGAATGTTTTGCTTGTTCCCAATCTGAGCTGTAACTTGATCTCGGTTTCCTAGTTGACAAAAGAATCTGATTGTGAGGCCCAATTCTCTGCTAATACTTGCATGATACAGGACCTAAAGTCGAAGACCTTGATTGGTGTGGGTGAACAGGATGGTGGACTTTACTATTTCAGACTGATGGAGGACAAAGTGGCGTTGAGTGCAAAGCGGGAGAGCAACTTTGATCTATGGCACAAGCGTCTCGGACATCCTTCACCTCGAGTCTTATCTTTAGTTCCTGTAGTTGGTTCCATTAAAGATAGTAGTTTAGAGAATAATTGTTGTGATATTTGTGTGTTAGAATAGGTGCCCTTCACTAGAGGGGGGATGAATAGTGAGGCACGAGAATGTTTATAAAATTTCGCGGAATAAAAATCGCAGGGATAAAGTAAAGAGCGGAATAAAAAGGAGTAAAGGGAGCACACCAAGATTTACACTGGTTCACCACAACGTGTGGCTAGTCCAGTCTCCCGAGAGACTCTCTCGAGCTACACTACTTCCGTTAAGCTTACGGGTGCTTAACAAACCGTTACAACCTGAGAACTCGAGTCCCACGAGCCTCAATACACTTGCTCGGAGATACCGCACTCTAAGACTTCAACCCGAAGGAATATGCCCTTCGAAGCATGTTGGTTCCCTTGTTTGGAGGGAATTTCACAAGTGTTGTGAATTGGTGAGTTCTTGTTTTTGAGAGAATTTCTCATCTTATACTCATTTGATTAAATCTAGTTCTTGTGTGAGTTAAGGAGTTCTTTACCGAGATTTTTCGATACATTTTTCAAATACCTTACTACGTTACATTAGCTATGAAATGTGTGAGAATGGATGTGAAAAGTAGACCCAAAAGACCCTTATTTATACCCAAGAATGATGTGTAACGGATGGGAGTTGATTTGGGTTTAATGGCATGATTTTTGGAAATTAAATAAAAGTGGATCTACAGGAAATTAGCCTACCCAGCGATGTATGGAACTACCCATCGCTGGTAAGCCATTTTTCCTTCAGTTTTAAAGACAACGGTCACCTACCCATGGATGGGTAAGAGCTTCCCATCGCTGGGTGGGAGGTTGACTTTCAAACAATGAAAGAATCAGTCTTAAATGCCTTACAATGGTCATGCCTTCCCATGGATGGGTAATATCCTCCCATGGCTGGGAAGTCACTTACCCATGGATGTGTAATATCTCCCATCCCTGGGTGGCATGGTTCTGGAATCCCGGATCACTTACCCATGGATGGGTAATATCTCCCATCGCTGGATGGCATGGTTCTGGAATCCCGGGATCACTTACCCATGGATGGCTGATATCTACCATCGCTGGGTAGATGGTTAGTCCAAAACCATGGCCTAGCCAACCGGCGCTGAAACCCGACTGAAAAATGCAAAGTTCTCCAAAGTAAAAACTAAGTGTTTAAAACATTTATTTAATGTATTTTATGTAGAAACCAAGTATAAAAACTTAAAAACCACTTCATTGAGGTAAAAACCACGGCTAGCCAAGTTTATGCCGTTTCACATGGTTTTTGCCAAACGACAAAAAACGAGAGGTGGTTTTTGAAGTGTTTTTATTGGAGAACCATTTGGATATGTCCAGAAGTAAAAACCAATCATAAAATATTAAAAACCACTTGATTGATTTGGACACCAAAAACCAACGCCGATAACCAGCGCCGAATGCCGATAACCAACGCCGAAAAAACAAAGGTTATGGTTTTTGAAAACTAATGATTTGGAAAACATTTAAATGTGTCCAGAAGTATAAACCAAAGATAAAAACCCAAAAACCATTTGGTTAAAATCATTGCCAATAACCAATGCCGAAAACCGAACGCCATAGCCGAACGCCGATAACCGATGGTTATGGTTTTGGTTAAGCAAGAACCATGGGCTTTAGAAACTTAAAAACCATTTATGAAAACACTCATTTGATGCATGAAAACATATTTTGTTTTGAGCCATGACGTAGAGAAATTGAATGAGCTTGTTACAATAAAAACCTAAGTATTTAGAATACGTCTTCAAAGCGCAAATCTCGCCATCTTTAGCAGCGTCAATGCCTTTCTTGTGCTTTTTGTTTCTTCAAAGAACTTTTTCTATCTCTTTGAATCTTTTCATTTTGTTCCATGTTCCCGACGGTTTGTCAATATTAAAACCTAAGTATTTAGAATACGTCTTCAAAGCGCCAATGTCGCCATCTTTAGCAGCGTCAATGCCTTTTGTGTGCTTTTTGTTTCTTCAAAGAACTTTTTCTATCTCTTTGAATCTTTTCATTTTGTTCCATGTTCCCGACGGTTTGTTAATATCAAAACCTAAACGGAAACAAACATTGTCATTAACAAAATGCCAAGGTGAAAATGTTTTCCAACATTGTGTACGAGCCAAACACTCTCGTTCCAGTTTTCCTATAAGTTATCATCAATCTACTGCAATTTTTGATATGATACATGTTGATCTATGGGGGCCTTATCGCACACCTAGTCTGAATGGATCCACAATGTTTTTAACCATAGTTGATGATTTTTCTCGTGGTGTTTGGGTATACTTGACCAATACAAAGAGTGATGTGCCAACAATTTTTCGTGAATTTTGTGCCATGGTTACAAGACAGTATGGGACACATATTAAATGTGTACGAAGTGATAATGGGACCGAGTTTGAGTGTTTGAATGCATTCTTCAGAGAACAAGGCATCCTTCATGAAACCTCATGTGTCGACACTCCACAACAGAACGGACGAGTTGAGCGGAAGCATCGCCACATTCTCAATGTCGCTCGCGCCCTGATATTTCAGTCTGGACTACGAATTGAATTTTGGGACGATTGCATCCAAACCGCCGCCTACCTCATTAATCGAACACCATCTTCTCTCTTAGGGGGGGTTCACCATACTCCAAATTGTATGGGAACCCACCTCACTTATCTCACATTCGTGTGTTTGGATGCAGATGCTATGTTCGAAAAAAAGAAAGTGATAAGTTCGCTCCACGCAGCACACCGGGTATCTTTGTCGGATATCCACATGGAAATAAGGGATGAAGAATTTATTGCCCCGACACGGGGAAAATAATTGTTTCCCGTGATGTTATCGTTTTGGAAAATATTTTTCCATATCTAACCCTTTCAGATAAAGAGACCGACCAACCAATTCCGGTGTCGGACGGCCCATTACCAATGGAGGAGGATCTGATCACACGGCTCCCAAGACGACCCGCTGCTGCAACACCTACAATCTTCGACACCGCCACCAAAAACGCAGCACCCGTAGAAGCCCTGGAGCCCCTTCCGGCCACCGAAAACACAGCACCCGTAGCAGCGGGCGACATGACGTCGTCCAGCGCTGCCGGAACTGGCAGCAGCACCAGTGCTGAATTGAAGGACCAACTACCCGACGAGGCAGCACCCACTACCGACGAGGCAGCACCTATAGCTGGTCGTGGGCAACGAGCACGCATACCGAACACCCGTCTGAAGGATTACGTCACATATACTACCTTCCAAACGCTCAGCAAGTATCCGCTAAGCGCATTCATCAATTATGACAAATTTACTCCTTCACACAAGGGCTATCTCACAGCTATTGACTCCGAGATCGAGCCCAGAAATTTTCGTGAAGCGATGCGATATGAAGCATGGCGCAAGGCCATGCGGGCGGAAATTGATGCGTTACAGAGTAACGGGACTTGGACCCTCGTCAGTGCTCCTCCTCACAAGAAGCCTTTGGAGAGCAAATGGGTGTACAAAATCAAACGCAAGGCCGACGGTAGTGTCGAACGGTACAAGGCACGACTGGTGGTCTTCGGTAATCATCAGGTTGAAGGGTTGGATTATAACGAAACATTTGCTCCTGTCGTGAAACTAGCCACCGTAAGAACCTTATTAGCCGTGGCTGCAGCTAAATCATGGGAGCTTCATCAGATGGATGTTCACAACGTGTTTCTTCATGGTGATGTTAATGAGGAAGTCTTCATGCGCCCACTTCCCGGATTCACTCCTCCTCATCGAGGTCTTGTTTGCAAACTTCAGAAATCTTTATACAGATTGAGGCAATCCCCCAGATGTTGGTTTGCCAAACTCTCTCAGGCCTTAAAGAAATATGGTTTTGCTTAGTGTGTCTCCGATTATTCCCTTTTTACCCTACGACAAAGGGGAGGTGTTCTACATGTTCTCGTCTACGTGGATGACCTTGTGATCGCCATCAGTGACTCTCATCAAGTTGCAAAGTTTAAGTTCTACTTGCCCCAATGTTTTCACATGAAGGATTTGGGCCGACATAAATATTTCTTGGGCATTGAAGTTGCGCGCACTCTGGCAGGCATTTTCTTGTGTCAAAGAAAGTATGCGTTGGATATTAACTCTGAAGTTGGCTTACTTGGGGCACGTCCACTAGGCACCCCACTTGAGCCAAACCATCGATTGGCGCTTACTACCACGCCATTACTTTCTGACCCTGAGAAATATAGACGCCTCGTTGGTCGCCTTGTTTATTTGTCGGTCACTCGACCAGAGCTGTCCTATGCGGTTCATACATTGACCCAGTTTCTGCAAGAGCCTCGTGAAGAGCACTGGAAGGCTACAATGGGTGTGGTTCGATACTTGAAGGGGCAACCCGGTCAAGGGATCTTCTTATCAGCTAACAATACCTTGCAGCTAACGGGATGGTTCAGACTGGGCCGCCTGTCCTTTGACAAGGAGATCCCTCACCGGTTGGTTTGTCCAACTTGGCAAATCTCCTGTCTCCTAGAAAACAAAGAAACAGACGACCGTGGCCCGATCGTCTGCAGAAGCTGAGTACAGAGCTCTAGCCGCGGTCACTTGTGAGTTAAAGTGGCTCAAAAGTCTACTCGGTTCTCTTGGGATTGAACATTCGCAGCCTATGACCATAAAGTGTGACAGTACTACTGCATTACATATCACAGCCAATCCTGTTTTCCATGAGCGTACGAAGCACATCGAAGTCGATTGTCATTTTATTCGAGACGAGCTACTGCGAGGAGTCATCAAGACAGATCACGTCTCCACTACACATCAACTAGCCGATATGCATACGAAGGCACTGGGCAAAGCACGACTTGAATTCTTGATCCCCAAGTTGGGCATTTCATTACTACATGCTCCAACTTGAGGGGGGGTGTTAGAGAAGGACAAGGAATATTAGTATTTGATTTGTATTAGACTTGTATATTGTAGTTTCCTTTTAGCATTCCTAATCCTATTAGGAATCTCTTGATAGCTATATATACCCCACATTGTATTGTACATAATCAACAGAGAATACACTAGATTTTCAGCCCAAAAGTACTTCTGCGTAACAGTTTTCCTTCTAAACGGTGACTGTCGTTAACGTTCATGTTAACCTTCTAGAAATCAAGACGGCGGCGCAGCAACTGAGGCGGCAGCGGCGCCACCGCCAGAGGCGGCAAATTCAAGAATGCTCTGAGCCAACGCCACATGGGACGCAAGAAGGTCACGGCGGTTGATGGCGTCGGTGGCATGGACATCTGCCTCCGTGTCCTTCTTATCGGTTCTGAGCTTGGCGAGGCTCTTCTGGCAGGCGATGAGATCGAGTGTCGAAGTTCTCAGAAACTTCATGGCGTCGGGGTACGCTTTTCCGGCCAAGGAGTCCACGGTCTCCTCGATCAAATCTACGGCCGGGACGTAGTGGTCCTTACATTCGGCTAGTCCTTGTTGGGTGGTGGGGGACAGGTCCTCCGTGGTCCCGGCCGAGAGTTTTGCCGACACCGCCTCCGACACCGTCACAGCCTCCTTCTCGATCTTCTTGAGCGAGAAGAATGCGATGCTGTCGGGATCGGACCTGTCGATGCCTGATAATTCTGCGTCGTCCTCGTTGTCCTGCAGCAAGGCCACGCAGGTGGGCCCGCCCTTAGCGTACTTGCACGCCCGCGAAATGAGGGCGGGGTCCACCTGCGCGGTGGCGTACGTGAGACGGAGGAGGAGAGCAAAGGCGAGGGAGAATATGGGTGCTGCCATTTTCTTGGTTTTAGAATTAGGTAGAAATGGAAAAAATTAGCTGATGAGGGTAAAAAAGTATTAAAATAAAAGAAGGAATATAATTGGGGTAAATTAAAATGCAAATGGTTGGGAGAAATCTGTGGGTCTTCATACAATATGAGTAGGGATGGCAATTCTATCCGAATCCGACTTTTACCGACCCGACCGGAGGTTATTATATCCGAATCCGAACCGAAAAAATAAATATCCGAAACCGACCCGAAAAAAATTAAACCGAACCCGACTTTTGTCGGGTTGGATTTGGGTTAGTATATTTGACCGACCCGACCTGTACCCGAACCGACCCGACATATACCCGACTTTCAATAAGTTTTAAATAACTCTAAATTCCTATATTTTATGTATTTTTTATGCACATATTTTTAATATTTTAAAACTTATTGCATTTTTTATGTTTCATTTTTTATTGTGGTTTAATATTGTGTGTCCCACATGTGCTATTTTCATTGTACTCCATATATTATTAATTGAAACTTAATATTGTTTGTTCCACACGCGCGGGAAGACGAAGCGGGTGTGGATTTCTACTCTGATGTCGCCCCCAACGAGATCGGACGACTTCCGTTTGACATCTTTAAGGGTTATTCGGTCATAATTATTTTTGATAATATCTTAAATTTTATATCATCTTTAAAATTTTTAATTTCTAATGCATTTCAATATCAAAATTTTCATGAATAGTTTAAATAGTATTCAAACCCGAAATTGACCGTAACCGACCCGATCGAATCTTAGACCGAATCCGAACCGAAAAAATAAATATCCGAAACCGACCCGCCAAAATCAAACCCGAACCCGACCTAAGTTAGCCATCCCTAAATATGAGATTATAATGCTAAGAGCTCTTGTCAAAACACACTTTATCTAAATGTTTTTATATAGGAATTTCAAATATATTTACACTTATTAGTATTTTATTTCTTATTTTAGAAACAAAATATATGATTCACAATATTTCTTTCCGAGGGCACAACAAGTCCTCTCTTGAGTATGTTTGTTTTAAGGATTTTGGAAGGGAAAAAAAAGAAAATGATTTTCTCTAATTTTTCTCATTAACATGGAAGGAATTTGGTTTTCTCTGCTCTTAGTACATTTTGTCTTTTCATTTTCTTTTTCTTCAATTTTTCTTTTCTTTTTCCTCTCTAACCTAATAAGAAAAATGGTTTTCCACTTTATTTTCTTTTGTTTTCCCTTTGAAATTCCTTGAACAAAACATAGTGTGAAAGAAATCTTATCCCAAGACAGTAAGAAATTAATCTCTATATCCCAAAATGTTCAACAATGAATATAGTTTTGGTGAAAAAAAGAAAGATGTGTGATTAAAATTTAGAATAAATTTCATAATGGATCCTTTATAATATGAGGCTTTCCATATTTAATCATCTATCATCGAATATTACCCCTGTAGTCCTTCGTTTATGGGCGTCTTTCCAGAAATGGTCTTTTTTTATCCTCTTCCATATATATTGGAGTTAATTTAAAGCTAAAAATATAATTTGACATCAACCTAATGTCCAATGACGAATTCTGATATTGGTGATGCGGATAACACAAAAATGAAGTTTAGTCAACCTATAAATAGTAAATAGATAATTTAATTTGGGACGTAGGGAGTAGAAGAAAAATATAAAATATGAAATACTTGATGCACAATAATATTAAAAGCTAGACGAAGAAGCAATAAAACACAAATTAAAATATGTATTTTAACTAAATATACCAAATAATATAATAAAAAATATTATTATTTTATTTATAGTGTACCGGCCTACCGGGTCGTTGACTTCGGGTTTTTGACCATTTCAACAGATTAGCCCTTGACTCACTCCCTCGTTCGGGTTGATGCCCGGTCTGATTTTGAGAACATTGGCATTTACACCGCCGACAAGAAAATGAGAAAATAAAATTTGTTCAAGCAAAACTATCTCAACTACTTTCCATTTATATTACAAAGTACATATTAAGATAATAAAATAAAATTTTGAAAATTCACAAGTCTCAACTAGATAAATGTAATAAAATTATTTTTATACTACTCTTTAATACATTATAATTTTTGTTTAACTGAAACCCAAAGATCTTTGATTCTAAAAAATCAAACTAGACAAATACACGAGGGGGAGGAAGTATATCTCATCCAGTCATCCTTAAACAAAAATGTATTACTCGGTAGAATATGATGAACAGAGTCTGAGACTCCTTACTTCAACTATCTGTTTTCCTTTTCAAATTTCCAATGCGGAAGGTGTTAGAATAAAATGTACTTATGTACTAGAGTCTTTATTTTAAGAAATATAGTTTATAATCTTAAAAAAAAAGAAAACGAAAAACAATGCAATAAATAATTTCACCTTGGTTCCCATGACATTGAATCAGATGACCCGAGGTTCATACGAATCTCCATTCGAAAAATTGATGGTTCCTACCCCTCCTAACCTCCCAAGTAAATCCTCCACTCCCGGCCCGACCCAAAGATACCCCCGCACCCCCGTCAATTGCATGCCACAAGATTTAGTTCATTTTAGAATCAAATTTTGACTTCAAAGTCAACTAAATCTTGTAGTCTGCAATTGACGGGGGTGTGGGGTATGTTCGGGCCAGACCGATGGTGGGAGGTTCACCGGGGGTTAGGGGGATAAAAACATTAATTTTTTGAACGGAGCATCATAGATGCTCTAATCGGGGCCCATGTCATAGGATAACATGGGGAATTCATGTCACCCAAACCGCCCCCAAATAATTAATACTCCATGTAATGTTTGTACTACATGAAGAATGCCAATATTATACTCATATTTTTCTCAGTTATTATTCACACAATTAAACTATAATTACTTTCTTTACATAGTTTTGTTAGTAAAAATCAACGAAGTGTAATAATTACAAAACTTAGATAAAAAAGTACTACTTCAGTCCCAGTGTATATGTTCAGTTAGACTTTTTCGAATCAAACTTAATAAAATTTAAGCTTCAGTTACTCTCATTAACCATCTATTTAAACCATCGGTTCAGTCCAATCCTTTTGATCATCTCTACATACCTATACCGACCCAAAACTCAATCAAAACCAAAGAAGTCCTTGGTCTTGTTTTGGTCCTCCAATTTTATTTATTTGAGTTTTGGATGAACCTCATTCCTAACACTCTGTTTGATTCAAGGAATTTGAAAGGGAAAAGAAAAGAAAATGAGAGGGAAAAATAATTATTCATGTTTGGTTAGAGAGGAAAAGAAAAGAAAATGAGAAGGTAAAATTACTAAGAGGGAAAACAAAATTCCTCCCATCTTGATGAGGAAAACGAGAGAAAATCATTTTCTTTTCTTTTCCTTTCAAAATCCTCCAACCAAACATACTGTAAATGTCCCAAGAATCAGACAATTACTTTACGGAAGGTAAATTGAGAATGAAGCACTAGAAGATGAACAATCAAATCTATATATCAAGCACATAGATTAGGTGAACATTGGGTTCATAATAACTTGAACCACTAAAACTAAATGAACATTGGGTTTATAATAATTTACTGCTGATATTATATTTTAGACAAAAAAAAATAACTTCTCCCATACCTTTTCTTCAAACCCCAAGTAAGTAGTACCCACATGAACACAAACTAGGGAGATAAATCAATAGGGCTTAGGTTGTGATCAGTGGACTGTTGAAATGGCAGAGGAGATGAAGAAAGGCGCCTAAGAAGGAGCCAAGCATCAGAGGCAGGACAGCCCTGGTTCATTTCTGTGGCAATTGGGACTGGACTGTCTTCCCTTATCTCTACAACCATTGTTCCCTGAAACAAACCGTTTCATTCATCGTCATCATAAACCTCGATGCGGAGTAAGAAACCGTAAACTTCAAAATCAACCATTGTTGTTGTTGTTAGATCTCTAAAATGTATGCGCTTCTTTAATTAATGAAGTAGCAGTTAGTCAATCAACGCAACTTTCAACGCTGAGCCGAGGGTCTCTTTGGAAACAGCCTCTCTACTTTCGAGTAGGGGTAAGGTCTGCGTACACACCCCCACCTTAGACCCTACTCTTGTGGGATTCAGTTGGGTTGTTGTTTTTGTTGTTGTTAGTGTGATAAACAGTTTTGTAGTGGATGGGTCACTATTTTCATCTAGCTTTATCCCGCGCGCTACTTGAAAAAGCTGGACAGAAGTTGTTCTATGATGTAAAATACAAGGACAACTTTTGCTCGAATTGCCCTTTTGAAACAACACCTATTGTCAATATGTTTTTGCTCAAGAGGAACGCCGTCCAATTTAAAACATTTGTTTCCCAAAGTGCTGAAAATTAAACACAACTATTGAGGGACAATTTAGTTAGGGGTTCTAATTAAAGGGTTAAAACAGTGTAACATACCTCAAAATTCACAAGGAATCTCTGGAATAGATTCATCGTTTTCTTCATGTTGAGTGCTTGGTTTTGATCTGACGAAGCAAGAGCATTAGTTACTTCCGCAGGAGTGTAGCCTACTTCTTTATGCACAACCTAGAAGTACAAAAGAGTCGGCTTTAGATTGTGATAACATAATACCAGTCACCCCCCGTTATTTGCAATTTAACATACACTGTGATCGATAAGTATCTCAGAGATGAGGCTTCCATCATCAACAAAAACTCTAAGCTCATATGTGCTCCTATTTTTAAATTGAAATCCCTTCACGCCGGTAAGAAAGCACTGCAAATTAAGTGTCATGCATCAGATGCCTATAAAACACGGAGACTGTAGTGAATGAGAATGAACTCAAGAACTGGTAGAAATATGGAGAAGAATTAAAATTCTATGCACATTGAACTTTAGAGCAAATATTACTTAGACATTACAGTCATAAATTGAGCAGTCAGTTTTGGGATCCTTAGCGACATAAGCATATATTACCATCATTCAAGCTATATTGGAAATGAATGCACACATTTTGGGATCTAAACATAAATATTAACCCTGCAGATAATTTTTTATTACGGACCACTACTGCTATTGGTTTAGGTCCCCTTTGGAGGGGTTGAATGTTTTCAGTTCTGAATTATTATAAACAAAAAGAAAACCAAAAACCACTTTATGTGGTTTCCAAAAAATGTTTTTTT